AAAAAAAAAAAAAAAAAGAAAAAGTAATCTTTACATTTCAAATCATTTCGTTGCATCGTAACATTGTATGTATTACTATGTATACAATATTTACATAAATATATACAAATTTTGTGATAAATGTTTAAAGTGATAAATATTTTAGTAGTTGACATTGTTCTAAATTATAAAATATTTTATTTTTACTCATTCACTTCTTTATTTTAAATATTAATATATTATTATTGAAAGATTTAAAAGTGATAATAGAGGTTAAGTTATTGAATAATTTTCAATATTATTGAAAAATTTTATTGTACTATGGAATCGAATGAAATTACTTGGAAATTAGTACCAAATACAGTTGCAAGTAGAATGATAGATTTTTCTTTAATACACAAGCTAGTACCATCTAGAAAAATACGTCAAAGAAATAAAGCTATGAATATTGCAATTAAACAGTTTCAGAGTTTAAAATCATATAGTCAATATATTAAAATGAAAACTTCAATTCTTCGAAATTTATCAGATGATAGTGAAACTGATGATAATGTAAGTTTTACAGAAGATGATTACAGTATTTTATATAAATCTGATCTAAGTTTAACAGACTACATAATGCAAATGTCTAATAAAAATGAAAAGTATACTTATGAATCAGAATTTGAAACTAATAAAGATAATATTGTTTCTAATTCAAAAACTAAGAAAACATATATAGAAAAACGCAAAAGAAAATCATCAGAAACTATAAATTTAGGTTGGCAAAAAATTGTTAAAAAAAGAATTAAAGATTCTTCTTTTGAAACAAAAAAGACAAATATAAATGATTTAATATCTTCTAATGTAACTTCTTCTCTTATAAATGCTAACACACAAGATAATTTCAAGATTGATGCAAACTGTTCTAAGGAAAATATTTTAAATCTATCAAATGAAATGTCAATAAATAATGAAATTTATACTGCAGAAAAAATTAAAGATAAATGTTCCAGAGTTCCAGATTCAAATAAAGTAAAACATGATATAATTGCAGTACATGAAACAATAAGCAAAAATAATGAGTTAGAAGTATCAAATCTTATGATGAATAATATTGATAAAAAGTTTCACTCAAATGAAAATTATTCTTATAAATTATTTGATGATTCTAATACAGAAACAGTTAAAGGAATCAAAAAAGAAATGGCATCATTATCAGATCATATTAATGAAAATCAAAATCCTAATGATTCTTGTATAAATAAAAATATACTTTTGATTCAAAATAATTGTAATCAATCAGAGAAAAATTTAATTAGAAAAGAATTGAAAGATCAACTTTTAATTATAGGCAATACATATCAACCAAAGGATTCAGGCATTGAAGAAGATTCAGAGGAAGAAATTTCAGATCATAAAAAAAAACATTATAAAAAAGTTAAAAACACAATTCAAAATACAGAACAAAATATATCAACTACTAGTTCTCCACAACCCACAATAAATTATAAAAATAATATGATAGATTGTGATAACAATTCTGAAAGGCACATGCTAAATAAATCAGATATCAAAGATATAATATTACATGTAGATAAAAATATAAATGAAATAGAATATAAGAAAAAAATAGAAAAGCATAAAGTACAACCCAAAGTTACTCACACAGAAATTGTTAATAGAAAGTATAAAATAATACGTGATACATCTGTATTTGATAATCATAGTGAATCAGAAGAATTAGATTTTCATGATGAAAATTATGAAATACAAGAAGCACAACAAATAATGGAAGATAATATTTCTTCTAATAAACGATTGCAACAATTAAGAAGATTAAATTTAACTATAGATAGTAACTCTAGTCTTAGTGATAATGATGATACATGTTGTAATGTTGAGAATATGAGAAATAAGCTATTTGAACGATCTAAAGAATCAGTAGATACATTAAATAGTGAAGATGAAGATATAAATTCCAAACATGAAATTTCAATGAAATTTGATGAAAAATTACAAAATAATGATAAATACATTCAACATAAATCAAATTCATTAAATAATGCAATAAGTCATAATTTTAACAAAAAACAAAATGTGAGAAAATTAAATAAAAAGAATTTAAAAATAAAGTGTACAGTACAATCAGAAAATGCACAATCATCAATATGTGATAGACCATGCAATGTATAAATAAGAATTTTGTTTTTGTTTAAATACTATTACTTTTATTTTATATATTTTATTTTTTTCATTTCTTCAGTTACAGGAATTAATAGAAAAAGAAAGTTTAGTACTTGAAACAACAATACCTTCTTTTACCCTTAAGGACATAGAAGAGGACGATGTTTTTATTATTGACATTCCTTCTACGGTATAATACACATAAATTGTATTGATATAGAAAAAATTCAAGAATATATATAATATTCATATATATGTAATATATATATAATATATAATATTTGTATATATATAATATTTCATTTTATTTCTATTGTATACAGGTACTTGAAAGTGAATTAATAGGAAATAAAATAGTTTTGACAGACAAAAAATTAAAA